ATTATTTGGAATCGGTCCTCTTTCTGCTTCATCTTCAGTAGCCTACTTTTCCTAGTTGGGTGTGAGAGTTCAAGTGCGCCTAGTATGTGTGGTCTCATTGAAATAGAGTAGGCTGCCTACATGGGCGGAGAATCAAGTGGTAGTTAACTTAAATATGAAATGAACTTACATATGATTAGACTGTAGTTTACTACAGTGTCTGTAAATAAATATTGATAATGGAAAGAAGTGGAGGGCGCTGAACTAACGTGAGTCGAAGTGCAATCAAAAAATATAATCATAATTGAAAAGGAAAAAGGCACAACTCGCACATAGGTTAGGTTACTATGGTCAGCGAGCCTTTTCATTTTCAATAAATATTGATTACCCATTTATTTGTCTCTGCCTGCAAATCGTCCTCCTAAAAGGTAGGCTATAACCTATAGGCCTTTGCAAAACGTAGCAAGTGGCGCTGTCATCATTCTTGCTGCTTCCAGTTCAGTAGCCATACCTGCGAGATCAGGTGTGCGTGTGATCTCAAAATAGAGTAGGCTATAGCCTATGCATGGGTGGAGAAGCACGAGAAGTTATCTCTCAAAGGAAATGTTCTTCCTAAATAGGCCTCTTATTAGGCTATAGTTTACTACATTGCCTAGAAATAGGCCTAAATATTGATCACCCATATTTCTCCGTCTGAAAATCTTCCCACTCCTAAAAGTTAGGCTATAAAAATAGCTCAAGAGAATGTGCAAGTCTCTCCAACTCTGTCTGTTCTCTTCAAACTACATCTAGCATATTGGCTGATATAGCCCAGTAATACAATATAAGGGCCATGTGAGAATCTCTGGTAATTTAACCTATTTCTTAAGTTATTTTGCGCATTTGATATTGCCTGTAGGGCGCAAAATTGCTGGGACCATGGCCGGCAAGTGAGCTGCATCACATACGCCTAAAATAACATTGCTGGACTGGGTTTGGGTTTGGGACCAGTTCTTGTGGTTGGGTTTGGGACCAGTTCTTGCAGTAGCGGATGGGAGTCGGACAGAAAGCCAGTGGGTGCTGGCAGGAGCGGGATAAAGAAATCGATCCAGCGTAGACCTCTACTGTGCACGACAGTGAAGCCTGTAACGTTAGAGCTGTTTATTACTGTGTCAGTGTGAAAAGTAGGGAATTAGCTAGGGAAACTGACAGATCAATAACGTTACATTGCCATACTGACTAATAAAACTAATATTGCACTGAAAAAACGTCAGAAATTCAATCTTCAATCATTTGGCCGATGGTTTCATCATTTCATTCAGGTCTAGTGTGATTGAGGCAAAAAGAATAGCTAACGTTAGCCAACTTTGGGCCAGCTCTCTCTCGAATGGTACATCAACTGGCGAAAGCTAGCCAAGTTAATTTACTTCTGAAACAGGACAAAACAAAGGCTACAAAACATTTCTGTACAAACAACAGCTGTTAGATAGTAATAATAGCCCCTTCATACCGCTATCTGACAGATAACTAGAGGCTAGAGCTGACCTGGCTGTGGTAGCCGGCCGCGACCGGGAGACCCATGGGGCGGCGCACAATTGGCCCAGCGTCGTCCAGGGTAGGGGAGGGAATGGCCGGCAGGGATGTAGCTCAGTTGGTAGAGCATGGCGTTTGCAACGCCAGGGTTGTGGGTTCGATTCCCACGGGGGGCCAGTATGAAAAAAATAAAAAAATAAAAAGATAATGTATGCACTCACTAACTGTAAGTCGCTCTGGATAAGAGCGTCTGCTAAATGCCTAAAAATGTAAATGTAAATGGTAGCTACTGTACACTGTAACGTTACTGCATGATTGTAGCGGGTTTACTAACGCATTAGTTCTATTAGCTATGTTGACTATGACATTACTTTAGCTAATATGGTGACAATGATGTAGGCTGTGTGTAGCGGTTTGGCTTGGAACGTTTTTTTTTGCCTGGTCACATACAGTGAGGGAAAAAAGTATTTGATCCCCTGCTGATTTTGTACGTTTTCCCACTGACAAAGACATGATCAGTCTATAATTTTAATGGTAGGTTTATTTGAACAGTGAGAGACAGAATAACAACAAAAAAATCCAGAAAAACGCATGTCAATGCATTTTAATGAGGGAAATAAGTATTTGACCCCTCTGCAAAACATGACTTAGTACTTGCTGGCAAAACCCTTGTTGGCAATCACAGAGGTCAGACGTTTCTTGTAGTTGGCCACCAGGTTTGCACACATCTCAGGAGGGATTTTGTCCCACTCCTCTTTGCAGATCTTCTCCAAGTCATTAAGGTCTTTTGTGTTTCTTCCATTTGCGAATAATCGCACCAACTGTTGTCACCTTCTCACCAAGCTGCTTGCCGATGGTCTTGTAGCCCATTCCAGCCTTGTGTAGGTCTACAATCTTGTCCCTGACATCCTTGGAGAGCTCTTTGGTCTTGGCCATGGTGGAGAGTTTGGAATCTGATTGATTGATTGCTTCTGTGGACAGGTGTCTTTTATACAGGTAACAAACTGAGATTAGGAGCACTCCCTTTAAGAGTGTGCTCCTAATCTCAGCTCGTTACCTGTATGAAAGACTCCTGGGAGCCAGAAATCTTTCTGATTGAGAGGGGGTCAAATACTTATTTCCCTCATTAAAATGCAAATCAATTTATAACATTTTTGACATGCGTTTTTCTGGATTTTTTTGTTGTTATTCTGCCCACTGTTCAAATAAATCTACCATTAAAATTATAGACTGATAATTTCTTTGTCAGTGGGCAAATGTACAAAATCAGCAGGGGATCAAATACTTTTTCCCCTCACTGTACAGCTGATGTGTTGTGCATTGAAGTCCACAAGCGAAGGGAAGAGCTGAAAGGAGGAGAGCGCATAACGTAGATGCAAGAAGGAATACAACGTGGCTGCTATGAAACTGTGAACTGTGTTTACGTGTGATCAGGGGTGTATTCATTCCGCCGATTCTGTTGTAAAACGTTTCTTAAACCTGAAGCAAACTGAACAAAACGGGGATAAACATACCTGAATTTGTCCAATAGAAACTCTTGTTTGCAACTGTTGGACTAATGATTACACCGAATATCAGCTAGACGCAGGCAAGAGTGTGCAAGGTGGTATTGAATGTCACTGTCTGTCCATGTGTCACTGTCTGTCACATCAAATTTGTCTCTCGACCTGTGTGCACCTACGTTGTAAACTTTAATTCATAGGCTAGGTTATAGCAGCCTCATGATGGGTATAGGGAAAATGTGAGAATCATGTAATAGCCTAAACCAATCGCTGTTACATTTAACTGGGTGAATGGAATATGAATGACAGTCATCCAATATGCTGTAATAGAAATAAGGCCACACTCATGAAAAACAAACAAATCCTCCCTCATCTGAAACGGCACTGACCGCCTCTGGGTCACAGGTACACAAGCCTGTGAATGACTCCCAACCTTCAGAGTGGGTTAGAAGACACATAGCAGTGTGGTTGAATATCACGGGTGCCTGCTAAAACTAACAATGGGGATTTCATTAGGGAATAGAATATTATTGTTGTCCATTTTGAAGGTGGCTAACTGAATCGATCTATCCAGTCTCAGAGACTTTTATCAGTCATAGACTATGCCTGCAATATAGTCACAACCTTTACCCAGTACAGCCAGCAGGTTGATATGGCCTGTACAGACAGGGAACAGACTGGCAAGCTGTTATATTATGTATTCTTTTTGGAAGGGGATACATTTGATAGACATTAGGAATATTCCAACCCCACCAGATTGTACAATTGTCCTAATATCTGAATAACTATCAATTTAGAAGAATAGATACAATAGCAGTGTCATTGCTTTGTTTCTCTAAATAAGCTAACTAACTGTTATCACGGGGTTTAATGCACCATAAATGTTGGATGCCAACCGCCGATAAACCCACTGAAGAAGAAGAAGTATCACGGGGTTGATGTGTCACACGTAGGTAAAAAAATTTAAAAAACTGTCATGTCAACAGCCCGACTTTGTTTCAATTTCGACCACGGCTCTGACTTTGACTGGAGACAGGTTATAAATAACCACAGGGAGTCAGTCGAACAGGCAGAACGAGAGTTCTAAGAATCAGAAGAACGCTCGCTCATTCACAACATAAAACTTCGGCAACTGGCCCAGACGTAATATAGCTAGCTTTTATTTGATAAAAAGTAACGTTAAGTGCCGATTTAATAACGTAAACGTTTTTTAAAACTTTGTCACCGTGAAAATTTTACTGTCCATAGTTTGTTTGCCAGTACGCGCCTGGTAGTGGACATTGATGACATTTCACATTAATATGAAAAGCGTATACTAAAATATGAAAACACTACGTCATGTCTCAAAGTCGAAATATATCTTACCTCGATATTGTTTTATGTCCTCCGGATTCGAGAAGAAAGGTGATGAGTTCAACGGTGAGACTGTCAGTTTGCATTAATTCTCGCACAGCATCCAGCCTAATTTACCAGATTTTTTGCCACTTTTTTCCCTCTGGCCTCCAATGAATTATCCACTCCAATAACTTTTGAACAGATTATGTTAGAGACATGAGGTTTGGGCCATTGGTTTTCTTAGAGGAGTATGATCTACACAATTAACATATTGTATTTGACCCATTGGTCAAAATTGCGTTTTTGATTGGACACCCTACTATTTATGACATTCAGACAAAACATTTTTTATCTAAAGTAATTATAATTTGGTGGGTGCTTATATTTGTCCTATTTCCCATATTTAGGCTACAAGTGTGTAATATACCCGTATGTGAATTGGAAATATGTTTTTTTTGCATATCCCAACTCCAAGTGCTTTGCTCAAGGGCACATTTACAGATTTTTACCCTTGGGGATTCAAACTAGCAACCTTTCAGTTACTGGCCCAAAGCCCTAACCACTAAGCTACCTGCCGCCTATTGATGTCATTTGTCAAACTGAGAAAACTCAGTCACAGGACAAAAGGGCATGCCTTGGCATGTTGTCTTCCCATTTTTTGGTATCAAAGTTATGCCCTTTACCATCAAGTGAGTGTTACTGCTCTCTAGAGGTGTATTTTTATGTTTTTGCAATGAAAATTCTCATTCTCCATTCCCAATGTGCTGTTAGGGCTGACTGTGCATTGCACTCTTCCAGGAAAGTATACGTTCATAAACTGTTTTTAAACCGCATAGGAGAACTTACACATCAATATTGCCGGATTTGTGTAATGGAGGATGTTGCAGCTATACACTCACTTCCTGTTGTGGTTTGTTTGTTTATTTTTGTTTAGAGAGATGGCGAACAGAAATGCCAATGGAAGTACCAACAGTAATGTGAATGGGAGTGCCAAAGCTGGGCTGCCAGGGGATATGGATGGCACGGAGGACAGTGTGGAGTTCAGACTGATGATGGCGTACGCCCAGAGGAGGAGACCTAGGGAGGTGTTGTGCCCGCTACCTCAAGGCACAGTCACCCAGCCGGGTGGCACAGAGACACTAGAGGGCCATGCGGACACATTTATAAAGAAGACGAAGAAGAAGAAGAAGAAGAAGGGGATGAGAATGAGGCTGCAGAGACAGTTCAGCTGTTGCATCAGGACCACCAAGAACACCACCACCAGCATCACCAACGGGCACCCAAAGGTCCTGCTTCAGATCCTTTGGCAATGGTGAGTTTGTATCAGGGGAAGGAGAGACAGGAGGGTTGTTTGATTGCATGTGTTGGTGTAATACTTTAAAATGTAAGGTACATTGTATGTTTCTTCTTTAGTCAGCTGGTTTGACTTCATACCAAGCATACTAAAGCTGTGTGTGTGTGTTTCAGGTTCAGTGGGAGATGAGCTGAACGAGGTAGTTGACCGGTTGACTCAGATTGCTGACGGAGTGAGCTTCAGTCCTTGGGATCTGGAGACTGATGGAGAGGAAGGTATAAGACTGACTCAGCCGCCATATCTGGGTTGTATTCATTAGGCACCAAATGGAAAAAAAGGGACAAACTGGGAGGGGCTACATGAACTTGTCCAATAAGAATACCTCTGACCTCTAACCCCTTACCCTCTTCTATCTCTGCCTTTCAGATGCTATAGAGACTCTGGTGGGGCTTCTGCTGAGAGGAGCGGGAGACAAACTCAATGAGGAGGTAAAGGATGGCAGGAAATATCCGTTTCTGTAGGTAGAACCAGTGTGATTGTGTAATTCTGTCTCTGTCCACTTGGTGTCACTACACACAGATAATATTAGTCTATCTGCAAGACTGGGTTTTAGTGATGGCATGTTTATACGGTTGTTGCCCAGTCCTCCCCTCACAAAGAGAAACAGGGAAGAGATGGTGGTGCATTTACTTATCATTCATCATTCATTTTTCATGACACAGGCTTTCACCCATAAAATACTTTTTGGGATTGTGGTTTAAACTTTACTGTCCTCGAACCTGTCCCTGTCAGGTCCTGAATGACGCCTCTTTGTCCTCAGAGCTCTTTGGCTCCTACAGCTTCTACGAGTGGACCATCTCTACCTTCCTCAGGAGACTGGGCCTGACCTCTGACCCCAGCACTCAGGGGTCACCCAAGGCCCAAATCGCCCTGACTTGTGAGGTAATCATGACAGAAATACATTTACATACAGTGCCTTGCAAAAGTATTCATCCCTCTTGGCGTTTTTCCTATTTTGTTGCATTACAACCTGTAATTTAAATTGATTCTTATTTGGATTTCATGTAATGGACATACACAAAATAGTCCAAATTGGTGAAGTGGAATGAAAAAAATCACTTGTTTCAAAAAATTCAAAAGAATAAATAACGGAAAAGTGGTGCGTGCATATGTATTCACCCCCTTTGCTAAGAAGCCCCTAAATAAGATCTGGTGCAACCAATTACCTTCAGAAGTCACATAATTAGTTAAATAAAGTCTAGCTGTGTGCAATCTAAGTGTCACATGATCTGTCACATGATCTCAGTATATATACACCTATTCTGAAAGGCCCCAGAGTCTGCAACACCACTAAGCAAGGGGCACCACCAAGCAAGCGGCACAATGAAGACCAAGGAGCTCTCCAAACAAGTCAGGGACAAAGTTGTGGAGAAGTACAGATCAGGGTTGGGTTATAAAAAAATATCAGAAACTTTGAACATCCCACGGAGCACCATTAAATCCATTATTAAAAAATGGAAAGAATATGGCACCACAACAAACCTGCCAAGAGAGGGCCGCCCACCAAAACTCACGGACCAGGCAAGGAGGCATTAATCAGAGAGGCAACAAAGACACCAAAGATAACCCTGAAGGAGCTGCAAAGTTCCACAGCGGAGATTGGAGTATCTGTTCATAGGACCACTTTAAGCCGTACACTCCACAGAGCTGGGCTTTACGGAAGACTGGCCAGCAAAAAGCCATTGCTTAAAGAAAAAAATAAGCAAACATGTTTGGTGTTCGCCAAAAGTAATGTGGGAGACTCCCCAAACATATGGAAGAAGGTACTCTGGTCAGATGGGACTAAAATTTAGCTTTTTGGCCATCAAGGAAAACGCTATGTCTGGCGCAAACCCAACACCTCTCATCACCCCGAGAACACCATTCCCACAGTGAAGCATGGTGGTGGCAGCATCATGCTGTGGGGCTGTTTTCATCGGCAGGGACTGAGAAACTGGTCAGAACTGAAGGAATGATGGATGGCGCTAAATAAAGGGAAATTCTTGAGGGAAACCTATTTCAGTCTTCCAGAGATTTGAGACTGGGACGGAGGTTCATCTTCCAGCAGGACAATGACCCTAAGCATACTGCTAAAGCAACACTTGAGTGGTTTAAGGGGAAACATTTAAATATCTTGGAATGGCCTAGTCAAAAAAGCCCAGACCGCAATCCAATTGAGAATCTGTGGTATGACTTAAAGATTGCTGTACACCAGCGGAACCCATCCAACTTGAAGGAGCTGGAGCAGTTTTGCCTTGAAGAATGGGTAAAAATCCCAGTGGCTAGATGTGCCAAGCTTATGGAGACATACCCCAAGAGACTTGCAGCTGCAAAAGGTGGGGGGGGGGTGAATAGTTATGCACACTCAAGTTTTCTGTTTATTTGTCTTATTTCTTGTTTGTTTCACAAAAAAAAATATTTTGCATCTTCAAAGTGGTAGGCATATTGTGTAAATCAAATGATACAAACCCCCCAAAAATCAATTTTAGTTCCAGGTTGTAAGGCAACAAAATAGGAAAAATGCCAAGGGGGGTGAATACTTTTGCAAGCCACTGTATAACTTTTCAAACACTAATGGCCAGTTTCCCGGACATATATTTAAACCTAGTCCTGGACTAAAAAGCATGCTCAAGAATCCTGATTGAAAGTGTTTTTTACTACTGGAATACGCTTAATCTGGGTCTTGGAAACTGTCCCTGTAAGTGCTTTACATTGTATGTGGCTAAATCACCCATTGGAGTACTACAAGCATGTTTACCCATTGGCGCATAGCAGCCATTTTGTGTCAAAAGTCTCAACCCTCTCTGCTCCACCAGGTGACCAGTCGCCTGTCAGCGGTGGACAGCCTCCCTATGAGCCGGGTGCTAGGCTTCGGAGCCAAATACCTGCAGGATCACTTCTCTTCCTGGGCCAGACAGCAGGGTGGATATGTACGTACATACAAAGATATATCGCCTATAGTACTGGAGGTCCACCTTCTTGCTCCTATCTACAGCTGACAAAAATATAAGTGGTATTTTGTGAGATGTTGAGCAATGATCAATACAGTTTTAATTTCTCTCAACAGGAGGAAGCTTTTGTGAATGATGATGAGGAGGAAGTCGACTGAGCCAGAGGGATTTTCCCCATTCTATACCCCCATTGGCTTCTTCCCGATTATCCACTCTTTTCCCAAAGTATGCACTTTCTGTCATGGATCAGAATTTGATTGGTGTAATTATTGGCTAAAGGGAGTTTCCACCATTGTTAAATCCATAACGGTAAGGGGTGGGAAAGGGTGGATAATTGGGATGTAGCCCTCCTCTAACCCTAACCTCTAACCCCTAGAGAAGTTTCAACTCAGGGCAATGTATTGCTATTATTGCATGCCCAATGAAACGTTGATTTTGCACAAAGAAACATGTACATAGAAATATAGATGACTATCTTCCAGAGCCATAGGATATGAGGGAAACTGTTAATCTCAAGCCCCATTCCTTCTTTTGAATTATACATTGATATGATATAAGAATGCATATGAAAGTACAGTATTTGGGTGTTTATAGGAATGTAAAAAATAGAAAAATCAGTTGAATTAAACATTATTTACTTTATTTTTTATTGTAAGAATAATGATGATGAGACGGTCTACTCTTGATGTAGCCTATACTGTCTGATCCAAGTAATGTTTACATAAAGCAACATTGCCAAAGATGTCAACATTCCAGACCTCCAGAACTTTTGTCCTCAGTTGATCCAGAGGTGGTCCTCTGTAGCTCAATTGGTAGAGCATGGCGCTTGTAACGCCAGGGTAGTGGGTTCGATCCCCGGGACCACCCATACGTAAAAATGTATGCACACATGACTGTAAGTCGCTTTGGATAAAAGCGTCTGCTAAATGGCATATTATATTATTATATAAAGGTGGAATAACTATATTTTTAAACCATGACTGGACCAAACACTGGGGCAGCTACTGTAGCCTATGTATACTGTATGGAAGTGCTTCTATTCTGACTGCTATATGGTCACACTGTCATTCTCTGTGTGTCTATTCATCAGAATGTCTGCGTTATTTGTTTAATAAGAATAATGAAACACATTCCATGTTATGATTATAGTGTTCAATGATTTAGACAGCTTTGTGACTGTTTGATTTTTGTTTAAATATTAATTTATTTAATAAAAAAATTGGTCTACTGAAAAGACTCCTAACATTGTGTAAAATGATTTAGGACCAACTGGTAATTATATTGAAATGCAATCTCAAGATCGTCATGCACAGCATACCTGTACAGGTATGTCACTCATGTACAGGTATTGTGTACAGAACGTCACTCATGGAGGGAGGGGGGATTTCTTGGGGTCTGTACTGAAATGAACCCAACCCGTTTCCTGTACCTGCTCAACCTGCTTACAGACAACAGGAACACACACAAACAGGCCAGAGAGAGGACGCAGTGTCATCTATTCACACAATGTGGATTTCAACATGCAGATAAAATGATGTGTCGCCTACTGAACAGCTTGTTCTGTGTCTCACCTGTGATGCGCGCGAGGAAGACTGTCATCATTGCTGTCGGCTGTGTGCTCGAAAGAGTGCGTGGGAATGTAAGACGATGCACCAAAGTAGGAAGTATTCACCGACGCGCTACATCCGCGTCGTATCATCGTTAATAAATCAGCACTGACACTGAGGACGAAGACGGTGGACTACAGTCGAGGGGAATTGTTCAACCCGCCCAGGATGCACCATTCGAAAGTCAAGGGAGTCAGAGCCGTCCGGAGGCATACCTCTCCTCCAAGCCGCAGTCTGGAGAGCATCGAGGCGGTCTGGAGCGAGGGAAGAGCGGACTCGTTACCAAACCTTGTAGAGAGAAGACCGGAGCCGGAGAGGAGACCGTACCCGGTGAAGGTGATGAACCCCGCGGAGAACGACTGCCGCGGCAGTAGGAAAAGGGGATTCAAGCCCCCGGATGTGAGGACCATATTCTCCCCCATTGAGAGAGACTCCCGGATGAGGGATGAGAGGGGGGAGGGACACACCTTCTACCTTGGTATTTCGGGCGCATGGTGCGATGTGTGCTGTGAATACATCCTCCACTTCTCCCTAATGTGTTCAGGTGAGTTCTACTACTGTATGATGGTTCAGGTGAGATAGTTTGACTGTCTTAACTCCAATATCCTCTGCTACAGCAGACAACATACTGGTTAACAGATAGCCTCAAGGTATAAAGCCTATCAATATAATGACTTATTAACTGGATACCTAAACTGCCTTATGAATCTAGACTTTCTTACAGGCTCCATACAATCTGGATATAAACACATACAGTGCCTTCAGAAAGTATTCATTCATACCCCTTGGCTTATTCCACATTTTGTTGTGTTAAACCAGAATTCAAAATGGATTAAATAGATTATGTTTATCACCCATCTACACACAATACCCCATAATGACAAAGTGAAAACATGTTTTTAGAAATTTTAGCAAATGTTTAAAAATGAAATGCAGAAATATCTCAAATACATAAGTATTCACACCCCTGAGTCAATACTTTTTAGAAGCACCTTTGGCAGCGATTAAAGTGGTGAGTGTTTTCTGGTTTAAGTCTCTAAGAGCTTTCCACACCTGGATTGTGCAACATTTGCCCATTATTCTTTAAAACATTATTCAAGCTTTGTCAAATTGGTTGTTGATCATTGCTAGACCTCCATGGAAAAAGTCAAGGGGTGGGAATACTTTATGTAGGCTGTACATGTTCAGAAAGGCATGGCTACATACAGACTACTTCCACACAGGGCCAGGCTCTACACACACACACACTCACACACTCACACTCACACACACCATGCTGATAAACTGGTTTGAAGGGAAAACACTGCCATTCCTGTACGCTCATACACATGCTTTCCTCTCGGCTCAGCTCTCTCTGCATTCTTCCACTGACAGTCACTCACTCACTTCCTCAAGCTAATGTCATAGGAACCTGTTTACTGATGATTGATACAGTATAATCTTGTTGTTACTCCTATCATTTCTGCATTACTCCCCGCTGGGCAAAAACTGGTAGAATCGATGTTGTTTCCACATCATTTCAACCCCCAAAATCTATGTGATGACGTTGAATCAATGTGGAAAACTGATTGGATTTGCAAAAAGTCATCAACTTAAGGGCATTTCTTTTAACCTAAATCCAATGACATGGTGACATTTTTTGTTGATTTCACGTTGAATTCACATTAATTGACAACTCAACCAAATGTAAATCAAAACTAGACCTTGAACTGACGTCTGTGCCCAGTGGACCATCAGTCATCATACGTGTAAAAGCATTGCTTGTACGTTGATGGTTTTAAAGCACCTCTCCATATTGTCATGTCATTCTGCAGTGGTCTGATACAGTTGCAGCCTCTACTGTTGGCCTATGTTACATTAACTTGTTGACATATGCAATATGATGATCCAATGTCCAGTTGTGTCTTAACTAGACACTGAGAGTGGGTAAATGCAAATGCTGTAAAATATTTCCTCCTCTACACATCTGGCATAGAATGGGTCATAACCCAATCATGATTAGAACCATACCTTGGCCATTAGAACCATAAATTGGCCATTAAAAACCTGGTCATTAGAACCCTAACCTGGCTATAAGAACCCTAACCAGGTCAATTCATCCCTAACCTGGTCAATACAACCATAACCTATTTCAAGTTTTAATGTCACATGCACAAGTACAGTGAAATGCTGTTCTTGCTAGCTCTAACCCCAACAATGCCGTAATCAGTAACAATGTAATACTACAAATAACAAGGTAGAACAAAAACACACAAGCTATAAAAATAAGAAATAAGAACATGATAAAGTAAGTAAGCATACTATATACAGGGTCAGTTCCAGTACCATATTTACAATGTGCAGGGATACTGGATCGATAGAGGTAGATATGTATAGGGGTAAGGTGACTAAGCATCAGGATATATTATAAACATTGTAGCAGCAATGTATATGATGATTGTATGTGAGTGAGTGTGTGTAGAGTCAGTATAAATGTATGTGAATATTAAGTGTGTGAGCAAATGATGGAGTGAGTGTTTCTATGTGTGTTGGAGTATCAGTGTGCGTAGTGTGTAGGGCCCTGTGAGTGTGCATAGAGACAGTGCAAAAATAAGAATAAAATACAAAGGTCAACTCAGATAGTCCGTGTAGCCATTTTGTTAGCTATTCAATAGCATAGAGATCATATTAAATTACTATTAGTATTCTTATTCCTAATTCTAAGTGCAATAGAACCCTAATCTGGTCTTTAGAACCCTCACAGGTTCTGCACTGCTGTCCCCTGCCCTATGTAGCAGCTCTGGCAGTCCTTTATCATAGGATAACCAGCTGAATTCCTTCTGTTAACCCAAATGTGACATCGGGCTGTACGGCCAAAGTGAGACTGGACTCAGGTTGCAGCAGGTGATCCGGTGTGGGAGGGAAAAAGAACCAGCAGTATGTTCTGACCACTCAGTGAATGTTTAATGGTGTTGTGAAGTTTTCTGCTCTCGCACTTAGTTGACTCCCTCCCTGTGGGGTTCTTTTGTCGGGGGGAGGAGCTATTCTGTTATCAAAAAATATCAAATACAATTTTATTGGTCGCATACACATATTTAGCAGATGTTATTGCGGGTGTAGCGAAATGCTTGTGTTCCTAGCTCCAACAGTACAGTAATATCTAACAATACACAACAATGCACACAAATCTAAAAGTAAAATAATGGAATTAAGAAATATATACATTTTAGGACGAGCAATGTCCTATGTATATATACAGTGCATTCGGAAAGTATTCGGACCCCTTGACTTTTTCCAAATTTTGTTACGTTACAGCCTTATTCTAAAATTGATTAAATTGTTTTTTTCCCCCTCATCCATCTACACACAATACCCCATAATGACAAAGCAAAAACAGGTTTTTAGATTTTTTTTGCAAATTTATAAAAAAGAAACAACTGAAATATCACATTTACATAAGTATTCAGACCCTTTACTCAGTACTTTGTTGAAGCACCTTTGGCAGCGATTACAACCTTGAGTCTTCTTGGGTATGACGCTACAAGCTTGACACACCTGTATTTGGGTTTCTCCCATTCTTCTCTGCAGATCCTCTCAAGCTCTGTCAGGTTGGATAGGGATCGTCGCTGCACAGCTATTTTCAGGTCTCTCCAGAGATGTTCGATCGTGTTCAAGTCCGGGCTCTGGCTGGGCCACTCAAGGACATTCAGAGACTTGTCACGAAGCCACTCCTGCATTGTCTTGACTGTGTGCTTAGGGTCGTTGTCCTGTTGGAAGGTGAACCTTCGCCCCAGTCTGAGGTCCTGAGCGCTCTGGAGCAGGTTTTCATCAAGGATCTCTATGTACTTTGCTCCGTTCATCTTTCCTTCGATCCTGACTAGTCTACCAGTCCCTGCCGCTGAAAAAAACCATCCCCACAGCATGATGAAATATCCCCACAGCAAGGGAAGGGGACTGAATACTTTCCGAATGCACTGTGTATGTATGTATATGTATGTATATGTGATGGGATGTATAGACATTATGGACAGTATGTGGATAAAATATGTACTCTATCTGAAGAATACGTAGGACAGAAAAATATATGTACAGCAATAGTTGAATAGGATGGACCTGACTAGAATACAGTATATACATATGAAATTGGTAAAACAGTATGTAAACATTTATTAAAGTGACCAGTGTTCCATGTCTATGTACATAGGGCAGCAGCCTCTAAGGTGCAGGGTTGAGTAACCAGGTGGTAGCCGTTAGTGACAGTGACTAAGTTCAGGGCAGGGTACTGGGTGGAGGCCGGCTAGTGATGGCTATTTATCAGTCTGATGACCTTGAGATAGACACTGTTTTTCAGTCTCTCGGTCCCAGCTTTGATGCACCTGTACTGACCTCACCTTCTGGATGATAGTGGGGCTCGGGTGGCCTTGATGATCTTGTTGGCCTTCCTGTGACACCGGGTGCTGTAGATGTCCTGGAGGGTAGGCAGTGTGCCCCCGGTGATGCGTTGGGCAGACCGCACCATCCTCTGGAGAGCCCTGCGGTTGCGGACGGTGCAGTTGCCGTACCAGGTGTTGATACAGACCGACAGGATGCTCTCAATTGTGCACCTGAATGTGGCGCCTTCTTCACCACACTGTCTGTGTGGGTGGACCATTTCAGATTGTCGCCCTGTAGATGCGGATGGGGGTGTGCTCCCTCTGCTGTCTCCTGAAGTCCACGATCAGCTCCTTCATTTTGTTGACGTTGAGGGAGAGGTTATTTTCCCGGCACCACTCTGCCAGGGCCCTCACCTCCTCCCTGTTGGCTGTTGCGTCTTTGTTGGTAATCAGGCCTACCACTGTTGTGTCGTCTGCAAACTTGATGATTGAGTTGGAGGCGTGCGTGGCCACGCAGTCATGGGTGAACAGGGAGTACAGGTGGGGGCTGAGCACACACCCTTGTGGGGCCCCTGTGTTGAGGATCAGCGAAGTGGAGGTGTTGTTGCCTACCTTCACCACTTGGGGACGGCCCGTCAGGAAGTACAGAATCCAGTTGCACAGGGCGGGGTTCAGACTCAGGGCCCCGAGCTTGGAGGGTACTATGGTGTTGAAGGCTGAGCTGTAGTCAATTAACAGCATTCTTAAATAGGTATTCCTCTTGTCCAGATGGATAGGGCAGTGTGCAGTGCGATGGCGATTGTATCATCCATGGATCTATTGGGGCGGTATTTATCCCTGTCACTCACACTTAGCTGGCCAGAACCATTTGCCTTATAGGCCCAAATGGTCAGCTCAGCCTGAATGGCCTGGTCCAAATCCATTTACATGGAGAGGTGAGAAGTTGGTTAAATCAGATTAGACACAGAGGAGATGGTGGATTAACACAACCTTTCATTCACTACAGGGAAATGTTAGAGACCTGTTGTGCTCCTGGATGAGGAAATAATTTGTTGTAATTCTCATGAATAGATCAGCTTTCATTCTCCACCGAAGGCTGTGTGTGTTTGTGTGTGTGTGTGTACCTACGCGTGCCTGCCTGCGTGTGTGTGTGTGCGTGCGTGCATGTCTGCGTGTGTGTTTGCCCTAGTGCCCAGCTGCTGTTTGTGCAGGAGCAGGGACAGTGTGGCTCCAGAAGACACTGCCCTCTGTGACAGGTTAATGACCCAACACAATGACCACACACACACTTTATTTATTACTATCCTTGTGGGACCTAAAATTAATTTCAATTCAAAATCCTATTTACCCTAAACCTAACCCTAACCCTCACCCTAACCTTAACCCTAACCCTAACTCCTTAACCTAACGTCTAACCCCTAACCCTAATTGTAACCATAACCTCTAACCTAACCCATAAGCCTAAAATAGCCTTTGTCCTTGTGGGGTCCTGGGAAATGTCCCCACAAGGGAGAATTGTCCTTGTTTTACTATCCTTGTGGGGATTTCCAGTACCCACGAGGATAGTAATACACACACACAGGGGGGAATGGGGGACTACACTAAGGGGAGGGACTAGCCCAGGCCAGACATGACACAGAAAAGCCAGATGGGGCAGGATAGAGAGAGAGAGAAAGAGAGGGGGAGAAAGAGGGTAGAGAGGGGCCAGAGTGAAAGACAGTCCAGAGCTGGGATTTGCAGGACCGGGGCGACCTTATGTTGGATATGCCCAGTGTGTATGAGTTGGAACCTGGTTGTGTGAGTGAATGAGCAATGGGGCTGGCTAAAGGATTTGGGAGGACTCTGCGGAGGTTATCTGGTTTCTTCTTCCGTGTTCCCAAACTGGTCCGCCGCTCTGGACGCCTGGAACTAAGCCTCCTTTGGAGGAACTCTGGTGAGTGTGTGAGTGTGTGTCTGTGCGTGTGTGTGTGGGCCTGTGTTTAGCCAACCCCAGAGCATGGTGTTAAGGCAGACAGAGGGTTTGGTGTCACTAAGAGGCCATGACCTGAGAGATAAAACAAGTGTATGTACTCTATATACTGTTCCTTATAAACACATTGTTTAGGGACCTACAGTTCAGGTCCTTCAGTGTTCATGTTTCGTAGAGACCAGCCACAGATGCAGTGTTGTGTCCACAGACAGACAGATCACTCAATGTCATCCCTGACCTGTCATGAAACACGCTAGACTCAGCACAAACACTTTGTGTAAAAGGCTGGCAGACAGACAGACTCTGCAGAGAGACCGAAAGATGGGATACCGGTGAGAGGGAGAGTGGAAGAAAGATATGCGCGTTCCATAATTAAGTGTGTGTGCATTTCAGTTAGGTGTTTAGCAGCCATGTGTTAAAAGGCTCATAAGTGTTGAGTGAATGGGTTTAGTCCCGTTGCTGGTTCTATGGGAAACTGTTTACTGTTTACTGAGGAAAACAACACTACCACAGTGGAATGACAACCCTTCCTTCTCCTCCACTGACAGTCTGCACGGTCTGAGACCACCTGCTGTCCTGGCAGTGTGTGTTTTAGGGCAGTGTGTGTTGTTAGTGGAGCCAGATAAGAATGAGAGACTTGGAATTTAGAATTGAAGTCTCTGAATGTAGAATGTGGAATTAAGAATGTCGTTAAGTATGTGCAATGCTGCTTCAAAAAGGAGATCTATTTTCTATTGTCTAAAGACAACGCAGGAACAAATACAACACACCACCTTTCTGGACTAGCCACACAAATACACAGCTCTTCAGCCCCAGACCACGCTATTCCTATTACAGTCCAATACTAAACAGTGTTGTTCTATGACAGGTATTGTGTTGCAGCATCCAGAGCCTTAGTGTCATACCAACTGCTTTAGTAAATTGATCACGTCGACCCATAGCCCAGATACAGCTATTGTACCAACTGAAACACAAGGTTTCACTCAGCTTTGATTACAGGATAAGATAACTCTCTCTCTCTCTCTCTCTCTCTCTCTCTCTCTCTCTCTCTCTCTCTCTCTCTCTCTCACACACACTCACACACACACACACACACACACACACACACACACACACACACACACACACACACACACACACACACACACACACACACACACACTCCATCCCCAAACACGCACACAGGTCTACCTGGTCACAGCGGGACTCCAAGAAGTGTAGTCTTGAGTACTGCTATGTCTTCTGCAACCACCCAGTGTGTCCTCTGGGTGAAGGTCTGGCTCTGCCCTGTTTACACACACTCTGCAAACCCTCTCTTTTAAAACCAAGGCTATGGTCTTTACATGTTGGGAGTGGTACTGCAAGATCCAAGTATTTTACTCTGGTAAACAGTCTTTGCGTCAGGGAGAATGGTGTTTACAGGGCGGAGGGTGGGGGGGGGGGGGACCGGCTGGGGGCGTGTGTTGTAGGGAGGGGGAGTTTGGCTGAATTGGCTCTTAACACGTCAGTGAGAAGGTAGCCACAGGTTCCTCATCTTTCCTCCCAGCACACAGAGACATGGTTAGACAGCCAGCTCTAAATACTACACACAGCTGACACTGGCTAGGCTCAGGGGCGAGTGGTGTTGGTATGCATCTGTTTGTGGAGTGTGTTGGTGTTCTTTGTGTGGGTGTGGGTGTGGGAGTGTGGGAAGATGCTGAGTTGCGCTCTGTTCTCCTCTCAGCTCCACTGATTAAGTCTGATCGATTGGTTTTGCCTGGCTGATTACAGGAAGGGCAATTATCAATGAGACAGCACAGCTATACCACACACACACACACACACACACACACACACACACACACACACACACACACACACACAGCACTCCCCACAGGCCCAGGAGACTCCCAGGGGAAAAAAGTGCTTAACTCATCAGACAGACAGTAAAAATCATCATCATCAGATTTCTGTCTGTCTGTATTTTGCAGTTTTTTAGCGTATTTATTTCTCCTCACTGGGGTGAGACAAATCTCCTCAAAGTTCATGCATCATAGGCATAGTATCTTATGGCTGATGACATAGCCTATGATGGTGTTTGTTATTATTTAATGGCGTAGTGGACGGACTGTGTAACATTTCCTCTCTGGTTTTGTCACAGCGCCAGGGCCTAGCTGGGACAATGCTCAGGCTTTGCCTCATTGTATCGAGAGCTACAGAGGGTTAGAGAAGGTTAGGGCAGGAAGCCTAGCAGACAAGAGCTGGCCACCCTCTTTGTGTGCTGGTGAGTTCAGAGAGGGGCATCCCTGGCCCACACACACATGGACGCACACACACTCTCTCACACGCACGGACTAACACACTCTCTCTCTCCCTCTATCTCTCCCTCTCTTTTCTCTCCTACTCTCTGTGTGTCCATCACTGTGACCCAATGAGCCTCCATTTGACAGGCAAATCACCCACTCAGCACTACCATACAGAGAGAGTGGGAGGGGGAGACAGAGAAGGAGTGAGTGAATGTGGGAGAGAAAGAGAGAGAGAGAGTGGTAGCAGCTAGGCAAATGAGTCTCTGTGTAGGTCTGGGCTGGCGAGGGAGGTGGGGGTTCCCAATCCACACAGGCTATTGTTCCTGATGCTTGTTGTGCCTGTGTGTAAGAGAGTGAGTGCGTCAAGGCTGGGCCTGTTGCTACTGGCAAGTGGTGGTACAGTGTAGGCAGTGGTCAAGGAGAATTGGTTAGCGGACAGAGCATTGAAGGAGAGCTTCAGAGAGAAGAGTGTGTGAGGCAGGAGGGAGATGGTGTGCTGGTCGGGGATGGGAGCAGCCATCTGTAAACTGTCGGTGAAGCTCAGTCAGCAGGTGAAGAGGAGGTCCTCAGGTAAGAGATGAGACATACACACACACACACTCTGTTCCTGTACATCACTGCTAACAGTGAGGACTTGCTGGATGTTCTGTACTCTGCAGAGGGAGTGTCACAGTGATGTGTAATGTATTCTGTGTTATTAGCGGTCTCTCCCTGTCTCTCCTCCATACTGAGTTATTTCTAAGTGGGCTGCTGGATGCTGGCCAGCCAGCGCAGAGAATGAGAGGAGAAAGAGAAAGAAAGAGATATTAGAGATTCCTTCAACCTTTTCTTCTGCCGTGGCGGAGTTACAGTATGCATAAGAGGACGTTTCTGTGTCACTGTAGACTTTTCCCAGCCTGTCAGACAGATCTGATTGAATGTCAGCTGAACAGTTCTTCTTGTTCGTTGTCATATAATGTTTACTTTTTGTTGGACTTGGAATAGTTAGAATAGTAACTTTGTTTCACTTGACTGAGCTGAATGTTAATAGCTCAGATGAAATATTGTTTTAATTGTGACTATGAATGGGGTCAGTATGATTGTTTGCATACTGTGGACAACCTAATTTCCATCCTGTCCTCTCTTCAGACACAACACAAGATGACCTGAATATTGCTGCTACTAGAGACCTGAGCCTGGAGACCCAGGGAATATTTGCTTAGCCGTTTGGGGTTGCGTTATAGATTAAATATGTTAGTGGCTGGGTTATATGTTAGTGATTTGGTTATGGATTAAACTTGTTAGGGGTTGGCTGCGTAATTAACATAGTACTTGTGACCTGAGTGTATCCACGGGTCTCTGTTAATGATCACGCTGCTATTGAGGCAACACAGATAAAATACTTTAGATCCTCCTGGCAAGGAAGTGGCAAGAGTCTTTAAGAGGTGTAAGAATAGCTAGGAGTACGAAATGAGGGTATTTGGTGCAGTGTTAAACACTGTCAGCAGTAGCCTTGGCCCGCTCCGTTGACACACACCGAGAGAGAATGCAGGCTCTATGAGTCTGCAAGGTTAGATCAGAGTGTGCTCTTCACAATTGTTTAACAAGCTCCTCTCCTCCTGCTCCAGGGTGTAAGTATACATGTCACCCAGAGTGTCGAGAGCGAGTGTCGTTGGACTGTCACCCCAGTGGTCCTGTTGCCGTTGACACCCCCCTCAGCCCCTTCAGCCAGGACCACCTCAACAACAACACACCGCCCGTCGTGAGTACCCACCTTCTCTCTCACTCCCTCTGTATCTGTGTGTGTGTGTGGTCTAATTAAAGGGTCAATACTTTGTTCCTTGAGATGAGTGCTGATATTATATTCTGTGATGGTCACATTATGACTGTATTCAGTGTATTGTTGTTACTCACTACCGTTTTGCAACGTCAGGCTCAGTTCACCATTAGCTGCATTTACAGAGCTGCGGAGGGAGTGGGCTGCGATGTCTATATTTCACCACAAGGGGGCGTTGGAGTGCATAGAATGAGTATTCACCCTGCTCGTGATTACAGTGAGGGACTGAGACGTAGTTCACTTATGTACCGCCTGATGACGCTCTCTCTGTCTCTATACTGTATATCTTGTCATAGAGCTCTTGGTGGGAGTGAGTGAGTGTTTGGGGGATGTGTTGCTCTTAAGGTTTTTGGGGATAAATGGCTCTGAATACTCTGATGGTATCATACAGAAGGGTGTGTGTTTGGGATTAGCTAGGTGGGGCCAATGCTTTGAGACCAGCTGTCCATGTCATTCTCTATATAATAGCTCTGGAGTCAACGTGTGTGTGTGTGTGCGCGTGCGTGTGTGTGTGCATTCAAAACTACCTGGCCCTGTACAACAGCAACATGAACCGGCTGCCACATATAGCGGGGGTCGTGTTGGGTGACCTCACACACATTTCTGTCCTCTGTGGTCCCAGGGAAGTCCAAGGGTGTGTGTGTGTGGGGGGGGCCCTGTCCCTAAGTCCCTGAGCCTTGGTCAACTTCACATACGCAAGCATGCGCACACACACACACACTACTCTCGTGTGTGATGGATGGATGGAATGAGTGAGGGCATTACGCCATATAGACACCCCTCTGTGGATCATATTCAGCATGTCAGAGATCTTCAACTCTGTCAAAACAGTCTGGCTTCAATACTGCAGTGAAACAGTTTAGTGGTGAGATGTTAGCTCAGCAGAAACATGGACCTAATGCTGAATAGTACTGAACAGTGCTGCTTAGACATGTAGATGTCTGTCATGTTGTTGTTTCACAGTGTTCTGTTTCTGTGTTAATCTGAGGATGGGTGTCTGTGTGTGTGTGTGTGTGTGTGTGTGTGTGTGTGTGTGTGTGTGTGTGTGTCTGTGTGTCTGTGTCTGTGTCTGTGTCTGTGTCTGTGTCTGTGTGTGTGTGTGTGTCTGTGTGTCTGTGTGTCTGTGTGTGTGTGTGTGTGTGTGTGTGTGTGTGTGTGTGTGTGTGTGTGTGTGTGTGTGTGTGTGTGTGTGTGTGTGCGGCCAGGTTAGACAGCGGGAGGTATTGTTGGGTTTTGACCAAACTCTCCCATGTGACTGCCCAGAACCAGAACCAGACTCATATATTTTTAAGATCCTTTATTATCCTTATATAACAAGTACTCTGAACCTCCCAGTAGACTGTAGCTCTATCTCTGTCCAACTCTCTGTCTCTGCTCTGTGGTCTGTGGTTCAAACTCTCCTGAAATGGACTCTGGCAGATAATGATATGAAGCCATGAGACAGTAAATAAACGATGTGTCTCAGAGAAGGAAATGGAATCCGAGAGAGGCTAGATTGGATAGATGGATCTTCTCAGTCTCTGCTATACCCAGAGGACACAGACACAGGAAGACAATGAGTGCCTTATCCCAGTTTAGAAGAGTCTGTAATAAACTAGGAATAGAGAGGGCCTCTATAATATTACTCAGTAACTATCATGATTAATAGATTAACACCTAGTGGTCTGTCTGTCTGTCTGTACCTGTACTAGCAGATGAATCACAGACAGCTGGTTAGGGGATGAAGTTCACAGGAATGAAGGAATGACACTGACCCAATATGGATGCCAGCCAACACATGGTGACGTTTATAGCTAGGAGTCAATTCAACGCGGTGCAATCCTACACACTGTAACACACCCTCTGAGTGAGACAAGATCTTGGGCAGCACTCAGTCATGACGTGCAGGAGGGTAAAGTGATTAGCTGATTGAATAGATCAGTGATTGCATTAAGCAGTGATTGTTCTGGTCTGGAGTTTGTCACTGAGTTGACTATAACAGAGTAATACAGAGATTGACATCAGTCTGACCCAGAGCTCTTGCGCTGTCATGGGCTAACTCTGTTACTGGGCCTGAAACAAAGTTATTGGAAATGGCATGTCAGTGTCACTGTAGATTTTTCACCATAGAGACATGATTCACATGCAATCTACATCTCTGTCAGCGCTAACTGAAGTTCTATACACAAGATCTCACTAACTCAAAAATGAACACACTAATGCAAAACATTACGCACAAAGACACCTGGGTACATAATTTGTACTCAGTTAGTTAATGTGTAATTAGTTAATGTGTGATTTAGTTAGTTAATGTATAGTACATTTAGCTGTAGAGACAGTTGTGCTGACTGAGGGGGGGGGGGGGGGGGGGTTCTGAGTGAGTGCTGAGAGTGACCTCTGAACTCTATGCCCATGTCCCCTACCGCACTCTTATAGGCTGAGCCATGCCCTCTGATAGGCTATCTAGCCAGACAGGTGGTAAATAATAGGGCCATTTCCTGTTCCTGTACGATGGGAAAGTCAAACACAGGGACCTGGGGGAAAACCGTCGTTAGGAGGAGAAGAATGTTAATGTATTCCCTCTGGGCTTCATTGCTGCTTGTTAACCCCAAATGTTAGGTTAGGAACACCTGCATAAATTGTTGATCTTTAACCTTTGACCTTTCTGATGTCACCTCTGTTAATATGTGCATTCTTCACAAACATTCACATACCTCTTTATCTGTGGAGGAATGATCAGGGACTCTACACCTCTCTGAGATCTCAGACTAAAGGGAGTCTTCCTGATTCCTTTCCCTCTTCTCCTCCTCACCATGCATGGAGTAATTTAGTATGTCCTATAGGGTTGCTTGCGTCATGCCATAGGTATGCTATCTTACCTGCTTCAGTCAGTTTTTCTTCCTTCTTAGCAGGGTTACCTTATCTTATCACTCCTCTTAAAAACTCCTCTTAAAAACATCCACTCTGATCTGAAGACCAACTTATTACTAAGGTTAAGCTATGGCCCAAAATGAAAGGATACATACAAGTGTAAGGTTCTGTATTTGTTTTCTTAGTTCACCTTGTGTTCTTGTACGTAGCCCTGTTTCTTTGTGTTCTTGAACATGGCCCAGTCTTTCATTTTTGTTCATTGATTTCACCTGTGTTAGTTACTCACCTGGTCTCTTCAGCTCTTTATTTAGTTCAGTTCTTTCTGTTTGTGCCTTGTGAGGTATTGTTCATTTTGACTCTACTAAGCCTTTTCCTAGCTCGTTTGTGATACCAGTTTTAGCCTTCAGTCCTAGTTTTGTTTCACCTGCCTGTTTGCCTACCTGTGTATGACCATTGCCTGCCTGTGACCACGATTCCTGCCCTCTGCGAAGGCGTAATAAACACCTGCCGCGCCCTGCACGTGAATCTACACCTTTTTCTCCCTGAGTATTCATTACAGAATACCTCACCAAAAACGAAATGGATTCAGCGGAGCTACAGTGGCGCTTAACCCGGCAAGAGGAGCGTATGGAGGTAATCGGCCATCTTCTCCGCCAGCCTATCCCTACTCCTCAGATGCCAGGTATCGTAACCCATAGCCCTCCTTCATTCATATCCATGCCTGGAAAATATGACGGTTCACCTGGGAAATGTCAGGGATTTCTGATGCAATGCAGCAAATACATTGAGCACAACCCCACTAACTTCACCACCGACAAGAGCAGGGTGGATTTTGTTGTGTCTCTACTCACAGGCAAAGCCCTGTATTGGGCCACCGCCATATGGACTGCCAACAGCACAGAACTCGGATCCGAGACCCATTTCCACACCCTCTTCAAAGAGGTATTCGATCACTCTCCTTCCGGTCGTCCTATAGGGGACCTCCTCATAGACCATGAACAAGGACGCAATTCAGCTGCCGAGTATGCCCTCGAGTTCCGCACCATGGCTGCAGGGAGTGGATGGAGTGAGGCTGCTTTACTTACCGTCTACCGAAGAGGGCTCAACAGGGAACTTCAGGCGGATTTGGCCTGTAGAGGTGACCTTCAGGATTTAAATCAATACATTCGTATGTCCATCTCCATCGACCACCTCATCGCCGACAGCCGAAGAACTCTGCCACCCAGTTACTCAAAACCTTTTCTTTCCATGATTCCGTCATCCCGTCCGATTCTTCCAGAGCCCATGCAGTTGGCTCATGCTCCTCTCCCATGTATCGAACGTCAAAGGCGGATCCAAGAAGGGCTCTGCCTATACTGTGGAGGGAAAGATCATCTACTCAGCCATTGCCCTGTTCGCCCCCCACAGTGAGATGAGAAGGGTCCCTCCGCTGCTATGCCATTCTCATTTTACATTTACATTTTAGTCATTTAGCAGATGCTAATGACATTCTCCATCCCAGTATTGATAACAGTGAAGGGGGTTACGAAGTACGTAGAGGGCTTGATAGATTTGGGAGCAGCAGGTAGTTTTATCGATCACCAGCTAGTACAAGAGCTTGACATTGATCTTACACCTGTCACCCCTCCCTTAAGGATTAACACTCTGGATGGGCAGCCATTGGGCACGGGCTTCATTATGAACCTGACACAGAGCGTTACCCTCCAGATTGGAGTCTTCCACACTGAAACCATTCAACTCATGGAACTTTCATCTCCAAACAGCCACTCATCCTCGGACACCCCTGGCTTTGTCGTCACGACCATGCCATCTCGTGGCGACAAGGTGAACTACTGTCCTGGTCTTCTACCTGCTTCACCAGTTGTCTCAGCCTACCCTGCAAAGCCACCACCATTGAGGACTCTGCCTCTGCAGTGCCACCTACCATACCATATGAATGCGCCCAGTACAGCAATGTCTTCAGCAAAATCAAGGCCTCCACTCTGCCACCACATCGCCCAGGGGACTGTGCTATTGACTTACTCCCTGGAGTGTCCCCACCGAATGGCCGTGTTTACCCCCAATCTATCAAACGG